GTGCTGCAGCTTGGCCATCGTAGCGCACAGGCCAAACACGGGGTCGTCAGGTATCCCATTCACAACCCGCACGCAAGCGTTGATCTACAAACATTGTGGGACAAATTAGTCTGCAAACCCACACCGTCTGGGACCGTTTTGGACAGTCTGGACCCGTCTGCAGGTTACAGAAACCTCGGTGCCCATCCGAGCCCATCTAAATCCAACTGGCAAACAAACAAAAGCATTCGCCTTACCTGCGCACCGCACTTAATGCGCCGAGTCTCCTGTCGCGGGCGCTTTCCCTGACCGCGAGACTTGAACGTACCACCATGCTTACAGACCAGAGTCTTGTTGTAGTACCCCCATTCTTCCGGGATAGCCGGCGCTTTTGATCCGGCGGCCTTGATCTTGTTGTCTCTCTCCGCTACCTTGCTGCTCGTGCGAGCCGCGAAAACTCTGCGGCAAATACACGAAAACAGACGTCAAACTGTGTGCCATAGTAAATTCCATGAGAAACACGACCATACCTGGTACGTTTGTTGCATGTACTCGTCCAGGTATACATGCAGTTCTTCCCACGAATCGAAGAGCGTCTGTTCCAACGGAGGGGCGAGGACACAGTCCGAGCTTTCCGACGTCCCATGGCTTTGCGTGTCCACTTGACTGGACGTGTCGGATCCGGGCGTGCGTGAGCTGTCGGATGATAGCGTCCATCCCTCGTCGCTGACGTTGCTCCCGCTGTCGCTCTGGTTGTCGTCGCTTGCCGTCACGTGCGCCCTGCGCTTCTGCGCCGATCGCGGGCGGCGCTCCATTTTGAGCGCGGAAATCTTTCGAATGAAAGGGGGAGGCGGCGCAATGCCACTCAATCTCTTTTGAGGCACTCATATTCGAGGCAATGTATACGTGAAGTATACAATACGTCCCATACGGATGGCATCCAAATTGGGATAGGGTTATGCAGAAAAGAACCATGCAGAAAGCCAGCTCTCAGACGGGCTCCCTAATCACTCTCTTGCCAAAAACACCTACCCACCGTGACGCTCGAAGCTCGCCCTACATGTACTGTACCTCAAAGACGAAGAACTTCAGGGAACAGCAGACGTGATTGAGGTCTCCCCGGATTAATAAAAGCTGCACTGAGAAATTAAAAATACGAGGTTAAACAAGGACGTACTCGTACACCATGCCCCTCTCCGATGTCAAGCGCTGCACGCAGTCTGCACTGCAGACTCTGCAGACAATCTGTACATGGTAGCTTGGCCTCTACATGTAGCTTGGCCTCAAGCCTTAAGACAGAATGGTGATGGCCCATCATTAAAGGGCAGTGAATGCCACCATTGCATTCGTCTGCAAGATGATACTGTGCCCCGTCTCTGATTCGTCTACATAGGAGATGATCCCGTGGTCTCCAGCAGCTCCGTACGAGACTGTCCAGACCATGTGGGAGGCTCGCTGAAGCAAATACAAGAGCAAGTTGTTTCAAGTCTGCATCTTCATCCTCATGATGGAGCTAGCTGAACGTCTCAGTTCATTCGGCATCAACCAAGGTCTCAAGAACTTGATGCAAAAGATGTGATGGAGTCTGGTATCCGGACAGTGCTTTGAAAAGCACCTGGACGTCCATTTGCTACTTGATCCCGTTATTTGGTGTCTACCTAGCAGACGAGCGATGGGTTCGTTTCCGTACCATCCTGACGCTCGGTACAGTATCTGGTATTGTGCGTTCTACTCAAAGTTTCCGTTTCCACTGACCTCCGTGACTTCATTGTACTATAGCCAAATTTACAGCCATCTCGTTTATTAGGTGAAGGGGAATTGCTCTACCTTCTTTTTTTCTGCAGAATAGCTTGCAGTATTAAAAAAGGGAGTGAGTGCTGCACCCACCTCGTGCACATGGGACAGTGCTGGAGGGCTTGAGATCCGCATTCGGCTTGCGGTATACCTCGTGTAGCGTATACTTTCCCCCCCACTCATTTTTGCAGCGGGGGCAAATCAGCAGCAGCCAGGAAGCCATGGTGCCCGACCTGCGCGTCAAAGCGGCGGTGCGACCGCCGCGCCACGGAGGAGGGGCGAGTGATAGTGAAGAGGGGGTCGACAGCGACGAGGAGTGGTTCGACTCGTCAGCGGAGTCGTCGGGTACCGGCAGCTCCACGTCCAAGCAGCGTCGATCGGATGTTTCCGACAGTCTCCAGACAATCCAGAGCGGTGAGCAGCCAGTGGTGATAGCTCCGCCACTCGAGAAGAAAGAGTTTAATTCCTGGGGCGCCTTAGACGCGTATCTAAAAGTCTATTCAGCCGAGACATACCAGGTAGCGTTTGATGCACTGCATATGGTAGCAGGATCCGTATCGCATTATCTAACTGGTTTGTGCGTAATTGCTGCCAATTGCTGCGTACAGAGCTTCCGCGTTCGCACTAACAACAAGGTCGTGACGAGAAATAAGAAGATTCGAGACTCTGGGTCTACGAAGCCGCTTGTGCCCGAGGGGTGGACTCATTATTCGAAGACTTTCGTCTGCACCCACGCAGGGAAGTACAAGCCGCGTGGACAAGGCAAGAGAAAGCGGCAAGAGTCGAGAGCTCTCGAGTGTGACGCGCAGGTGTGTGACGCTCAGTCGGGCTCAGTTGTGCTCAGTTGGGCTCAGTTGGGCTCAGTTGTGCTCAGTTGTGCTCAGTTGTGCTCAGTTCGGCTCGGATGAACTGAAATGAATTTGAATGGTGCTGTTGGTTGGCCATGCATGTGCTCACGTACAATTGTATCGCTACGTAGATCAATGCCTGCGTACAAGTGACCGACTCGGCTGCAGCAGCTCCCACTTTTGTGCTACGAATTACTGTTGCCCGTTTGGAGCATAACCATCCGCTCTCCAGACATACTTTCGACCATTATCCACACAACCGGACAGCTATTGAGTCTGAGCTGGCCGGGACTGTTAGCGAGCTTGTCAAAGCCGGAGCTAAGAAGAAACGCATCCTGCAGTTCATTCACGAGAATTCTAGCTGCTACCCAACGAGCCATGACATACACAATCTGGTGCGCAAGCTGAAGAAACAGACCCATACAGCTCAGACATCTGCAAAACGATTGAAGCAATGGATGACTGAGCTCACGCAAGAGCTAGGGAATGTTGGAGGCATTTTTGTCGACTCAATCCATGATAAGGTATGAGCACTATTGCTGTTACTGTGTAGCCGTCGTTTGTTTAACTTTCTATGCTGATGTTAGACTGTAGCTACATGTATAACACTGCAGACAAAGCATATGCGGGAGCTCTTCGACCATTTCCCAGAGGTCGTGATGATCGACGCCACGCACGGTACAAACTTGTCAAAGTACAAGGTTTTCTCGAATATGGCACACGACGCATTTGGGAAGGGCCAGTTCGTACAGCATGCTGTTCTCCAGAACAAGCGTAACCCAACGCTTCTGACGGCCCTGGAGCAGTTCAAGCGCTACAATCCGGCGTGGACGCGCATCAAATGTATACTGATCGACAAAGATTTCGGCGAGATCGGCGTGTTGAAGAAAACGTTTCCGGACGCGGCGTTGCTGTTGTGCAGTTTCACGTGTTGAAATATCTGCGAGAGCAGATAGCATCAAAAGACTATGGGTTCAATGCTTGACAGAAGCAGCAACTGAACGGATTGATCAACTTGCTGGTTTACGCAAAAACGGAGCGACAATACTTGCGCTTGGGCGAGTATATGCGCCATATTATCGATGCAGGGACTGGAAGCGTACCATCTGAAAAAGCTAGGTCTAAGGATGTTGTGTTGGGCACTGGTCAGACGGAGATGGGCACGGATGGTGTCCAGTTGGGCATCAGTCGGGCGGAGTTGGGCGCGGATGGCGAACCGCGTGAAGCGTGCAAGCACCCTTTTGAAGCGTATTTTGTGAAAAACTGGGATAACTGTCGTCAAATGTGGTGCGCGTTTGAAAGACAGAGTGCTTGCACCCTCGGCAACAATACAAATAACCGCCTTGAAGCTTCGTGGAAGCAGCTGAAGGAGCTTGTGGACTCCTTTATGCAAGTGGACGAGTGCATTGTTTCGATAATGGTTTATCAAGCTCAGGCGGAGAGAAAATCTAAGGACGCGGTCTACAAACTATCTGTCGTGCATCATCCGAAGTACCATCACGAGATGGATTTTCTCTCGAAGCTGGTAAGCGAGCACGCGTGCGAGCTTGTGTACGAGCAGTACAACTTCGCGATCACCACGGCGAAGTATAATTTTCACGAGGCAGTCCCCGGAGTATACTTTATCCAGTGCGATGCGGACGATGAAGAGGCATTGGATGAACCGCATAGCGAGTACTCCGTCACGAAAAGCGATTGGTCTTGCTAGTGTTTGCTCATGACTTCACGTTTGCTGCCGTGTCGCCACGTGCTCTTCATTCGGAAGGCACTCAACTTCGAGAACGTAGCTCCTACCCAGCTTCTGGATTCTCGTTGGTTACTGTCGTCGCTTCGGGTGGAATACGAGCTGCCCCAACTGTCAGAAGAACCGTTTCGTGTGTCCAGAGTGTTGAAGGAGACCAATTTGGTTGGGATTCCAACCGGAAGTTCCGCGAAGCAAATTTTGTGGCAACTGCAATTAGTGAGCACTTGAGTGGATTGGGGATGGTGGAGTACCGAGCAGCGATGAAGGCTTTGCGAGATATTGCCACCCTTTTCAAGCATGGCGAGTACAGTACCATCCCAAGGTAGCTGGTGGTCTTGAACTCGAAGACGGCTTGGGTGATGCAGAAATGGACACGACTGGTGGCGCGACTGGTGGCGTCAGTCACCAGACTAGAGACAGCGAAGTAGTGACAGAGGCGATGGGAGTGGTGCAAGTTATCACGTCTAGACAAGAGGATACTATGAGCCAAAGTGTGGCGTCTGCTTCTTACGTGGAGAGCACTCAAGTATGCCCAGACCAGTCCGGCTCAGTTGGGAGCGAGACGGGCACAGATGGTGGTGAGTTGGTTTCATTTGGGAACGAGACGGGCACAACTGGTGGTGAGCTGGTCTCAGATGAGAACGAGACGGGCACACATGGTGACGAGTTGGTTTCAGTTGGGAACGAGACGAGCGCAGCTGGTGGTGAGTTGGAGGTGGAGACATCTCACGAGAATGACAACCATAGCGCTATGCTTGCTTCAGCAAAGCTAACCGATGATTTTCAGATCGTGAGTCCCCCAAAATCCAAGGGACGTCCAAAACAAAAGCCACGGGCTGTTACAGCAAAGCGGAATCAAGCGATAGTAATGGTAGAGGAAGACTTGGAAATGCACGAACGCCAAATGAGTCTACTGACAGTTTATGAACTACTGGACGGCGATCCCATTTACAAGTTGACACACGAGAAGCTGCTGCAGTTCAAGGAGTTCCTGTTCGTCACGAAGCCGAAGCCTCCCATCGCCCACGAGATAGCGAAGCCCCCCCACAAAACCACTGATGCGACCAGAAGAAGTGATGCGAATCTTCCCCATCCAACTATTTAACAAATGTACCTCCAAGGTCACAGCCTACCAAGCAAAAAAACGGGAACGTTGGAAATGCAGCTGGCGCTGGAGATTGTTGGCGTTGGAGTGCTCGCGAACTCTACGGTATCGCTCATGAGAAAGTGGCACACCGCAGTAAAATTCGTCAAGAAAATCAAAAGAGCTATAACCTGGATTGATCGATTAGACTTCGCGCAACACGGGAATTCTAGCCTCTACGTCGAGGAGGACACCACTATTCCTAAGCTGTTGAAAGATTTGCTAATTCTGTCGAACGAGTATGCAGACTTGGTGGACCTGGCTTCGAAGGACACCCTTAGCGCCCAAGTCATGCAGATGATTCTACACAAACTGTTTGGTGCGGATCCTAGTGTTATAGTAATCGACCCGTCTAACATGGGGATTTCAAATGGAGCTTTAACGACAGACATCAGGTATTTTTAAACTGGCGTTGGCTGGAGTCACGAATAAGATAAAAGTGCTGTTTCCAATCAACTGCAACAACAACCACTGGTGCGCTGTGCTAATGGATTTGGAGAAGGGCAGAGTGTACGTCTACGACTCGATGGCGTCCTCCTACATGATCGGTGTCCGTGCCGTGGCACAGAAGACTATCATGATGCTGCCAGACGGAGTCAGACCTAGTGCTCGCTTGGTGACTCACGACCCTGGACTTGGCGTTCAGTGCGACAGCTATAATTGCCGTGTGTATGTCTTGCTGGTATTTGAGATGTTCTGTGGGTCAGAGCCGCTCGGCCACCTCGACAGAAAGACTCTGCAATGCATGCGCTACCGCTACTTGCGCATGTGTATAGAAGAACAAGGAAGTAGCAGTAGCTAAGTCACTGAACTCGTTGCATCGAGCTATGTTTGTCGAGTTATATGCTTGATAATGTCTTTAGTAATTGAAGGGGATAACCTGCTCAGCAGAACGCTTCTATCTCTGCGGACTCTGGTACTGTCACTGAACTCGTTGCATCGAACTATGTTTGTCGAGTTATATGCTTGACAATGTCTGATGTAATTAAAGGGGATAACCTGCTCAGCAGAATGCTTCTGTCTCTGCGGACTCTGGTACTGCCGATGTCGATCCACTCCGGCTCTTTGGCATCTTTCGGATATACGTGTATAGTGTATAAGTTTTAGGCCGGCTCTTTCGATTTGGGTGCTGTAGTGGGCACAGGATGGGTGTCTGACGGTCACAACTGGGTACGGGTGGGTGCTGGTTTGGTGTCGTAATTCTGTCTTGTCCCGTCCCATGTGCACGAGGTGGGTGCAGCAACGAGTGCCTTAAAAAAATAAGTTTTGATCATACCACGAAGAAGTAGTCTTTTTCTAAAATTGATTATCACGCTCCGCAAATAAAAAACACACGAACTCTTCGACAAGTTCGAAAAGTGTATTTCTTGTTATGACTGGTACTGTACATTGTACAGTGTACAACTAGCCCACCAGCCACCATAGTGCTCAACATGCAACAAGAGCAGAGCATAGATGCGAAACAAGTCGCCCACAGCAAGTACAAGGCCCAGACAGCGTGTCTTCATCAAGGCTCAATTAGAGAAGTTTCTTGGAGCTGGCCACACACCCGTAGACACCCGTGTCGAGCAGTGAGCAGTACGCGCCACTTGGACAGTCACCATCGCTTACTTGAGCCACGCAGACATGGTCAGAGTCGATGCAGCCATCCTGGTCCCAACCAACAACGCCAATCGTTTGTTCATAACTGGAGCAGCCTTCCCACGGGGTCGACTCCTGCGCGCCGTCCTGGCATCCGTACACACCAGTGTCGAGCCACGCGCAGTGGGCACCGGACGGGCAGTCACCGTGCGTCTCAGCAACGCAGACGTTACCCGACGCAACGCATCCGTCCGAGCTCCATCCAGCAACACCAATGCTTTGTTGTCCACTGGGGCACGCGACCTTCTGGTTCTCCTTGTGGTGGTGGTGGTGATGGTGATGATGGTGTTTCTTAGCGCTAGCCACACACCCGTAGACACCCGTGTCGAGCAGTGAGCAGTACGCGCCACTTGGACAGTCACCATCGCTTACTTGAGCCACGCAGACATGGTCAGAGTCAATGCAGCCATCCTGGTCCCAGCCAACAACGCCAATCGATTGTTCATAACTGGAGCAGCCTTCCCACGGGGTCGACTCCTCCGCGCCGTCATGGCATCCGTACACACCAGTATCGAGCCACGCGCAGTGCGCACCGGACGGGCAGTCACCGTGCGTCTCGGCGACGCAGACGTTACCCGACGCAACGCATCCGTCCGAGCTCCAGCCAGCGACACCAATGCTCTGCTGTCCACCAGGACACGTCACCTTTTGGTTGTGGTGGTGGTGACGGTGGTGCTTCTTAGCGTTGGCGACGCAGCCGTACACGTCCGTGTCGAGCAACGAGCAGGACGCACCACTCGGACAGTCACCATCGCTCACCTGAGCCACACAGACATGGTCCGACTCGATGCAACCGTCGTGGTCCCAGCCCACAACACCAATCGTTTCTTCATTGTCAGCACAAGCTCCGTCGTCGACATACTCAATGTTTTCGTGGGATCCGGCTGTGCACCCGTAGACACCAGTATCTAGTAGAGCACAGTACGCCCCGTGGGGACATTCACCGTCACTCACTTGAGCCACACAGACGTTGCCTGTAGCAACACAGCCGTCATGGTCCCACCCAGCGACGCCGATAGTTTGTTCACCTTTGGCACAGTACGAGGTGGTTTCATGGGAATCCCACGATTCGTCGTCGCCGTCGCCGGCCGTGCACCCGTAGACACCCGTGTCTAGTAGAGCACAGCTCGCCCCATCAGGGCAGGCACCGTCACTGACTTGAGCCACACAGACGTTGCCGGTAGCAACACAGCCATCGTGGTCCCATCCAGCGACACCGATAGTTTGCTCACCTTCGGCGCAGTACGATGTGGTTTCGTGCGAATCGTCGTAGTCGTCACCGGCCGTGCACCCGTAGACACCCGTATCAAGTAGAGCACAGTAGGCCCCATCGGGACATTCACCGTCACTGACTTGAGCCACACAGACGTTGCTAGAAGCGACACAGCCGTCGTGGTCCCACCCTGCAACACCAATCGTTTGTTCACCATCACCGCACGTGGTCGTGGACTTGGTGTGCACCCGAACACGAAGTCTTGTTGCAGATACATCGGAGGTCGTCACCGCCAAACCCAGCGAGACGGTGGCCACCAGGAGCTTCGCCGACAGCATCTTGACTTAAATTCAACTGGAACTTGAGGATGTCGAGGTGAATTCGAGAATGGAGAGCCATGCAGCGGCGGCAAAAACGTTTGAGGTTGGAATTGCCAGTACATACAAAGTAGAAGACAAACGGAGGAGCTGTGCTTTCAGCCACGGGTGAACCCACCCGACTGCGCGAGGAGCTCTCGTTGAAGAGGCGAAAAATGGATCTCTAGCGACGCTTTGGAAAAGATATGGCTGCCTTTTTGCTGCTAGAAAACCCAGATGGCCCTTCTCGTCGAGATTCTCGCCGGACTCCTCTTGCCTCTCCTGAGTTGGGTTGACCAGGGGCGCATGATATCTTAGTGATAAATAATTAAATATGAACTAGAAGTGATGTACTCCCGAACGAGATTTTAATCGGGGGGGGGGTACATTTACGGCATTTTTTTTTACCTTTTACAGCTTCGAAAATCGTCTGTTGTCACAAATAATAGCCCACAATAAATATTTTCAGAGAGCTTTCATGTTGTTTCCCATTGCGAACGAAGCGACACAGTATCATCCAGGTAGCGCTTGATTTTTTTGTATCTAGGAAAAGAGGTGTTCTCGAAATAGCAAACAGTACATGTTATAGTCGAATGGCTAAAAACAAGTATATTGATCTGATCAATCTTCAGCAGAATGCGCAAGGGCTCAGGTTAGCAGCGGCCATTGATTTTCTTTGCGATATTCTTTTCCGGGCTCTTGCAGCTGGCGATTCCCAACTCGCATGAGTTGCTGTACGTGACGCTGTCAGTACCACACACAGGCTCGTACACGTCGGGGCAGACCTGAGAGCAATTGGGTATAGTGTTGTTTCGGCGGGGGAGTCCGGGGACCTCCAGGAAAGCGGGATCCTGAGTCGGTTGCGAGTGGGGATTTTCGACAGTGTGGCTGTTGCCGTTGCCCTTTACAACAGCATCCATCTCTTTTGCTGTCTGCTCGTCGACAGGGACAAATTGCCCCAGAGACGGACCCCTAATTGAAGCAGGGTCCAAGTAGTTGGCCGGCTTTAGGTCCAGCTCGGCGGAGGCGATAGCGACGGCGAGTGCGACCACAACAAATTCAGCGGTGAGCTTCATCTCGAAAAGTAAGGTGGAGGGACAGGGAGTGTGGTAGCCTTAGCTAAATTGAAAATGGTAATGTAGCGTTTATCAGGACATTGCCATACAGTACTATCTTGCTTGTCGCAAAAGATAATTGGCGATTACGAGATACCAACGTTGTGTTGTGCTTTACAGTATTTCGAAGTACAGTACTGCACCCCGTTTTCGCGCCCTTGGACCTTTGATAAACTTCCGGATGTGATAATCCCGAATCTAAATGAGATATTGTTTGTGAGCTTATATATGATTTATTTGCAAACCCTATATGGTTCACCCCCGCTAAAACGGGGTGCAGTACTGTAGTACAATGTACATGTATGTGCTTGCATTGGAGTCTGGCAACTCAATCTCATGATACTTAAGTGCGCACGATAGATTACGGAGTCCGACCGTGAACGTTTATCCAATGAGATGCTCCAGTTATTCGCAGCTCGATGTTAGGTGTCCCTGCTTACCTAAACCAAACTGCGATGTTTGTCACGCTAGCAACTTATGGCCATGCAAAAAAGCAAAGTTTCGGAAACAGCGATGCTTGTCAGAGTGACATCCAGCAACATTAATCGGATCTCGAAGTTGCGAAACCAGCTGAAGAGGAAGCGTGCAATCAAAACTCAAGTTGCGCAGAAGATTATGTATTATTAATAAGTTCCTGGTAAGCAGTAAAGTGCTCGTCAACTCGCCGACAAGGGACCTGCACTCCGGCGAAGGCAATGTTTAATATTGTATAATCTGGTCAGTGTCTTAATCTCCATTATCTCTAGCACTAAATGTGCTATCTCATTTACACAGGTGAAATAGATCAACTTATTTTTGCCGCCTCATTGGGACTTTGTTTTTATCTCCACAAGTTTTGTTGTTGTTGGCATCCGATTTTAATTACTTTCGATTTTTATTCTATGTGATCATCTCGGAGATAAGAGCATGTTCGCTTCAAATTACGAGATCATAGAACATTGATCTCCAGGTGTGAAGCGAACACGCTACCAGAATTTTCAAACCTCAACTACATTGGACCAATCCACAAAGGATCTGTCGCGTCCAGATATCAGGTAAATCCAAGCGGACAGATTTCGTCCAGCCCCTTATTTCGGGGGTGTACAGATCCCGGCATGGATGAAAACGGCCTTAGAAAAAGCAAGTTTATTCACTTTTAGCCAGATTTTAGCCAGCCTAGAAAAAGGATGGGGGGGGATTTCCTTGACAGAAAAAAACTGTCGGAATCTGTCGGGTTACCGAATGCCCAAATTGACCGTTCTACCAGGATTTTAGCAGCGTCCATCGGATCTCTTTGCGATTTTCTTGTCCGGATTCTTGCTGCTAGCAATTCCCAAATCGCATGAGTTGCTGTAAGTGACGCCGTCAGTGCCGCACACAGGCTCGTACACATCCGGGTAGACCTGAGAGCAATTGGGGATAGTGTTGCCACGACGTGGGCCTTCCACAAAAGTGGGATCTTGAGTCGGTAGCGAGTGAGGGTCAATAGTGTGGTAATTACCGCCGTTGGTGGAGCCGGCCAGCTCGTCCATAGCCTTCTTGAGCTCTGGGTTGTCACCTGCAGGCTGTTGAGGACCAAGCCCCCCAAGACCCTCAGGGTTCACAGTCGACAAGGACTTAGGGTCGATGGTGAGGGTGTTGGTCGTGTCTAGCTTGCGATGGTCCTTGATGGGCACTTGAGGACCAAGACCATTCACGTAAGCAGGATTTTGAGTCGGCAGCGTGCGGGGATCAATGGAAACGTCCTTCCAGCCGCTCAACGGCTCAAGTTCCTTTTGTTTGTCGACAGGGATTCTGGGCTCCCTAATCATAGTAGGATCCACGTAGTTGAGAGTCTTTGGGTCCAAAGTCTGGGTGTTGGTGGACTCGGCGGGGACACTGGCGACGGCAAATGCGACTACAATAAGTCCGGTGGCAAACTTCATCTTGAGAGGTGAGGAAGGGTGTGGCAGTGCGCGCAACATTGAGAATGGCCATGTAGCGTTCACCTCAGCGCCAGCGTTTGAGAACATGTTGATCCCGATGATACGTGTAATCGATTGCGAGGTTGAAGCCAGTTAGCACTTTGTTACGTTGTAAATGTGCAGAAACCCATTTGTGGAAGCCTGACTAAGCAATTCGAGCAGAAAAAGAAGCCGTCACGTGCCCATGATAAAGCGCACAACGGATTACGAACCACCCGTGATCGTTTATCAAGGGACCGTAAGCTACGTAGTACAGCACGCTGTTTTATCAACTGACCTGGAGCATGTCGAAGAGCGCAACGATAGCACTTTGCTGCCAGTTGCACTAGCAGCCTGCAACGCATTGAACCTGTGGTTATCCTCGTGTTAAACAAACTGTCTTCTACCACCTTGTGATGATGTTGTACGTGCACATCAGTTTTTCAATTAAGGAGTATCGATACTATCCTGCTCTTTGAAAAGAGATGTCGCTCTCGTTATGCGATCTAATAGGACCGGGTTATTTAAACGATAGATTTAGGATCTGTGTGCATTGAGCCCTTGAAAATGAAAGAGCCTGCAGGATTTGAGCTATACCCTACCGTCTGAGATCACGAGGGATGTTTATCGCCAGGGACCACAATAAGAGAGCGGTTTATCAGCAAGGACCACAAACGAAGCGATTGGCAGATAATATAGTTTCTATAATAGTCTTAATATAGCGAGGCCGTCTTCATGCTCTTGGCGTCGGTACCATATTATAGATATACACCCACGGTGGAGGCCTCTCAATTCTGAAACCCACCTCCTCATCCCTAGTCATGACCAAGCTCGACTTGATACGCCTTCATGGCCAAGACCAGCTCGTTCAACATGCCTTCTTCGGTGATCTTGCTGCTGCGGGGGCGCTCGTACGCCCTCAATGCAAACATGAGCGTCTACAGAAAGTACTCATACGGGGCTATAGTTGGCAATATGAAAATGTCCGAAGCTGATCAGAACTGGCTGCATACTTCCTGGACTGGTATCAAAGCGTATGGCAAAGCCTTACCACTTTTCGGTGTTCGAATAACAAGCGGCGTGGAGAGCGATAATAATGGCTTACTTTGGGGTGGTGTTCGGACGCAACGTGTATACGAGTCCTTACGTGCATTTTGTTTTCGGTCGATCGCTGTATGCACCAAGCGTTTAGCAATATTTGCAGAATGGAAGGTAGATGGGTGTGACATAACACCACACGCAATGAAACTCATGAAGCAAGAGCAAGCTAACGTAGGAAAACTCACTGTGATGCCTGCTGCCACACCAAATTTTCTGGTCTTCGATGCGCTTGGGGCGTCAGCAAGAACAGGGTGTGCCACGCTGTATGAGGTCAACATGGCGTCTGGACACTGTTCGAGGTGTGCTGTGTCGGAGCAGCTTAAGATCCCGTGCCGCCATATTCTAGCTGTCATTTTTCGCCTAGCTTCTGAGAACAATACGTAGCTGGTAGTGAACGAGTTCAAGAGCTAACTATTTCCGAAAGCGAGCACACTTTTAGCTAAGTGTCCATTATTAGTCGGGAACGGGGTACACATTTAGTAGTGCGCTGTAGATGCAGCTAAGACATCTCGGCACCGGTATATGCGGCAGTTTGGGAAGACAGCGGAGTGACCAATACGCAACCAGAAGTGATAGGACAGCGTCACGCCTACGTGGACTCGTATAGCAGCCCAATTTGATCTGCACTGCACACTACCAAGAGCTGACCAGAGGGTAATAGTATCTCGTATTTTGCCAATATGGTAAAAATAGGAAAGGGAATACACACAGCTTGCACGCTTATTAATATTTAGTAAGCCAGGTCTAAACATAAGATTAGCTCGTGCGTCGTCACGAAGGCTGTCATTCACCGGAAAGCTCGAGATCCTTCCATACTAAATATATCTCTTTACTGCTCCCTTCTGCGGGTTGTAGTATGAGAGCTCTCATATTACTATTGAGCATCAACCATCTACTCCTCTGTTTTTTCAATTGATATATTATGGAAAGCTTTTATATTTTGGTCCGATTTTTCAAAAGTTGCAAGAAAAAACTTAAATTACGCACCGCTTTTGATATTACAGACTGTGTAATTTACAGTACCGTAGCGTCGTAGTCATAAACGTCGTTTACTTCTAAGGGTCAGACTACCCAAAACCAATCAGAAAGCGGTATTTCTGTCAGGTGGTTTTGCTATTTACATTTGGGGTGACAGTTAATTTTAGAGTCAGCTAGGATAAAACAACGCTTCATTGTCAGAAAAGCACCAGCCAACAGAGCCATGGGCCGCCCTCGTATAAATGGGCAAGGCAAGAAGCGAAAGTCGTATCAACGCACAGCGGTCGAGTATTCACACAAGAGGGATGTTCTAAATTACAATGAAGAAGGTCACATTCTTGATGAAACGATAGCACACTTCTACGGTGAGCTGACCGATGCTGCAGTACGAGCTAAAACGAAGCAGATCAACAAGTGGGCCAAACAGTCCGCTGATATCCGTGCTGCGTGTGAGTCGGGCCGCGGCAGGCACCAAAATTTACGTAGTCTTGGTGATGCAACTGTGCTCTCCAAGGCGGCCGAAGCGTCGATCGTCCTTTGGCGCAACTCTCTACGAAAGGATGGCGCACCTGTGTCGCGACTCATGTTGCAGCTAGAGGCAAAAGAGACTGCTTCTGACATTGGGCTTGGGGACAAATTTGCTGTCTCACCGATGTGGATAAAGCTTTTTCTAAAACGGCACAAACTGTCACTTCGTGCACGTACGAGGCAGGGGCAAACGACACCAGAGGACGCTCTAGAAGCGGCTAGATCGTTCCGGACATTGGTGCTGCAGACAATAACCGACCGGCAGTGTGTACAAGTATACAACGCAGATCAAACGGGTACGGTACATTATTTAAATGTTACTATTATTTTGTTTTGCTGAGGAACATGCACTGTAGCCGTGAATTATGAGTACTTGCCAAAACAGACTATAGACCAGCGTGGTGCTAAGACTGTATGTGTAACGGGGTACGT